TTCCCCAAATTTGTGCCTTTCTTGTGTGACATCTCCCTGTCTCCCTGCAGGTGATGCACCTGGAGGATTACGAGGATGGGGCCAAATTTGCAAACATCAACGATGGTCCTTACCCCCTGTGCATCTCCCTGATCCTGCTGGTGCTGGACAGCATCTTTTACCTGCTGGTGGCTGTTTACCTGGACCAGGTGATCCCAGGTGTGCTCCTGGCCAAAACTGACCTGGGGAGGGTCAGCACTTCTGAAATCCTGAATCCTTCAGGCTGGTGGTGTCTGGCTTAAATTCATCTGTGGGGAAAGGAGGTGATGCTGTTCTCAAGCAGCTTTTACACTTCCAGCTGAAATTATTTATATTCTAATATACTCTGATATTAGTATTCTAAAATATTATTATATTCTAATATATTCTATTATTAATATCCTAAAATATTAATATATTCTTATATATGCTATTATTAATATTCTAAAATAGTATTATATTCTAATGGATTATATTATCAATATTCTAAAAAATTATATTCTAATAGATTCTGTTATTAATATTCTAAAATATTACTATATTCTAATAGATTCTATTATTAATATCTAAAATATTATTATATTCTAATATATTCCATTATTTATATTCTAAAATATTATTATATTTTAATATATTCTATTATTAATATTCTAAAACTGCGAGGTGTGAAGAGGGCTTTGGGCACAGTGAGAATTGCTGAAAAGCTGAATTTTTCCCTCTTCCTGGAGGAAAAACTTCTTTCTTGAGTTAACTGAAACCTCAGCATTTACAATTTCCTCTTAAAATCTGGAAATCTCTGCCTCTCCAGATCTCTCCCTATGCCAGGAGCAGTTGAACATGAAACAGAATAAAGTCGTTAATCTTGAGATTAAAGCCTGGTTAAGCCCTGTTCACGTTTCAGTCCCTGCTCTTTCATCCCTGGTGATTTCTCTTGCATAGAAGGAGATTTGCACTTTTATTTAAATTTTTACAAAAAGCAGAGGCTGCCAGCAGTGGGGACAGGGAGTTGTGGTTTAAAAGATGGAATTTTGGCTGWTGGGATCCCTCAGGAGCAGAGAGAGGGGTGGATCTTCCCCAGGAGGAGCTCAAACCCTCAAATCGGGTGAATATTTGAGGAATTCCCTTCTGTGCCATCCCCAGGGGAGTTTGGTCTGCGCCGGACRCCGTTTTTCTTCATGAAACCCTCATTTTGGTCAAAACACCGGAAAAACTACCGGGAGCTCTACGAGAGCAGCGTCAACGGCTGCCTGAGCTTCAGTGAGATCGTGGAGCCCGTGCCCTCCGAGTTCCAGGGCAAGGAGGCCATCAGGTACAGCCCTGCCCTGTGTGGGATGGGCAGGGATATCGCTGGGAGTTGGGAAA